ATCAAAAAAATTTTGAAAATTTGAATAGATTAAATATTTAAAAAACCAGAGCCGGACTTGAAACTAGTTTAATTAAATTGTGTTCAAATGTCAGAAATAAAAAAAATATTAAGTGTGGCATTGTACTCAGGAGACAGAATTCTTTCAAAATCTGAAATAAAAAATGCAGGTCCGTATTTAAAAAAATCAAGTTGGCCTCTGTATCCCACAAATTATCAGATAATTTAAAAATCTAAAAATGGTATCAGTTAGCCTTAATAAAGTGGCTATGAGAATGTGCAATTAGTTTTTTGATTTTCTAAATTTTCTCTTTTTCTTTTTCCCAAAAAACTCAGCAAACCTTGAAATTTTCAAAATTTTTTTGATGGCATCTTGGTGAACATCCCAAGGCGCAACTTTGCCCCAATTTAACCATCTTCGTATCTATTACGGTTTCCGAGATACCAACGCTCGTACCTCGAATTTGTAGCACCCTGTATAATTTTTGAAGTGAAACTTCATATTTTCATCGATAGGTTTGTAGCTTCTGAATAACGGTCTAGGTAAAGCATCTAGTTCATTTACCAGCTCTCATTGGAGGACACTATCATATTTATTTCAAACCAATAATCAACGAGAATATTCGTATAATTTAATAAAATTACTTATTAATTATTAAATTTAGTTTTTTTTAATTATTTTGTAAATTAATACTACGCTACTGACTCTGCCAAAAAGAATAATTCGATTTTCTGCATATATCATCTCGGAAAACAGTTAAACTGGCAGTTAAATTCTACTGCTGCTTGCCTGTCCCTCAAGGGAGGAGTTAATATCGACCCTAAATTGTCAATTTGCGCTCTAACCCTTTTAATTTAGTTTTAAAACTTAATGCGTTTAAAAATCTATTTCTAAGCAGCATATGGGCAATTAATACAGCTGCTGCCTTATAGCCCCGTGTTTGAAAATGGCGTTAATAGTCTATAGTCTATAGAATATAGATAGGGGAAGTGAGAGTAAAATTAACTCATTTTCATCTAGATGTTTGACAATTTTGTTTTTGTATTCTTCTATAATAGTAACTTTTTTTAATATTGGGATTTGCTATGTTATGTTGGTTTATAGGTTTTAAATATGATTTTAAGATTTTTTGTATACCGTTGTACCGGGTGTCCCACTAAGAATAGCTCTCGGCTGTATCTCGAAAAGTATTAGTCATAGAAATATTTATAACTAAAGACACTATGAGAAATTGCTGGAAATTATTTTCAAGTTTGTAAAACGGCCGCTAGGGGGCGCAACTCCTATGGAAAATGAGAAAATAGAATTTTTACAGAATTTTGCCTAGATAATGGGTACTATAAATAATAGTTTCAAAATCTTCAGTAAATTTTTGATTTTCTTTGTTAGAACCATTTTTCCCTATCTGCTAAAATAAAGTGGTGGGAGAAGGTTAGATCTATCTTTATTTAAATGTTAATAACTCCGGACTGGATAATCAGAACCCAACAAACGAGGGCTCGTTTAAAATAGCGTTTCTTACTCTATATTATACCATAAAAATAATAATAATAAGGTTTTGAACGTAGACGCTATTGGGCGCTTTCTTACAATTTAACAAACATAGCACGTTTATTCAAAAAAAAAAAAAATACGATAGTATGTGTAATTTTAGCTGATAGTAAAGAGTAGTAAAAACTTAAAAGTCACCGAAAACCGCATCTTGATATCTTCTTTCAAACCGAAGATATTTGCAAAATTATAATAAATACCTAAAATAAGCCCTTAATTACCTTATTTTTACAATACAGTATCAGTAGCCTTCTTGATTATGCCCATTCTGACAAAAAAAAAATAAGATAGAAACAGTTAGTTTATTTTAAAATCGACGAAATACCAGAATACCATAATCAGGGTCGCCGCTACCATGTGTGCAAAGTGTGCGGTGCACACGGGCGGCCAGGTATAGGGGCGGCCAAAACAGGCACCACTGATTTTTTTTCTTAAATAAAAACAAAAAAAATAAATAATGACTCTATTTTCCCTAATAACATTCTTATGAAATATTTTATGACCACATAATCATCTTTGATTACAAGCAGAGAAAAAGACAAGTCGAACAAGTCGGACAAAAAATTTAGGATCTTCAACTTCAAAAGAAGTTCTTTGTGAAGGAGATGAAGAAAATTCTATTTCAGAGCAAACTACTTCGGTTGCAGCTAGTGACATAAATAATGAAAGGTCAAATGACAGTGATAGCAATAATAGTGCCAGTGCTGAGGCTGAAACCATAATCAACACAGTTAATCTGGCGGCTACGGCTTGCTGTGTAGAAAGTTCCAGCCTATACTTGGTTTCGAACTATCCCGAAACATGGCCTGCAAAATTTAATCCAAATGAAGTTCAATTTATTATTGAAAATTGTCCAAAGCGAATTAAAAACTTTAACTTTTCCAGAGATAAAAATATCAGGAAATGTTTATTGAAAAATGATACCAAAAGGGATATGAACACCAGAACGTTAGCAAAATCACTAAAAAATCAAATTTTTGAGTTTAAATTTATATGCTCTATTATAATATGGCACGATATTTTAAGTAAAATTAATGTTAGCAAAATAAAACACTAAATCACCACAATACACCAAAACACTTTTACTTTTACACTGGACGCGCGTTCGTTAACCAGCATCATCAGCAGATGATCAGGATTGAAGTTGAAGATGGAGCCTTTATCACCTGCTGATGAAGCTAACATGGTTAGCGAAACGCGCGTCCAGTGTAAAAGTAAAAGTGTTTTGGTGTATTGTGGTGATTTAGTATTTTATTATGCTGTGTAACACCAAAGGTTCCAACTCCCAACTGTAAAATTAATGTTTGAGCAAAATTCTTTAGTCATCAAAACTTGACATAAAATCTTTATTAGATATACTCAATAATTTAAAAATTATTTCATAACCACACGTTCTTATGAACATTTTCAATTTTTTTAAACGAATCGAGGGATATAGCTACAAATGACATTCAAGTAGCATTCCCCAGCTTACCTACCCGAAGAAGAAAAGGCATTTTGAGTATGAAGGAACTGATGAACCCATATTGTCACCTGAATTGTCATTTAAAATAAATTTTTACCTTAAAATTGTGGATACTGCCATAATGGCAATTGAAAAACGGTTCCAATTACTACAATAACACTATTTTTAATGTAATATATAGGATAATTATAACTAAAAACAATGACGAAACTAAAATTAATTGTAAGAAAATCCATCAGGCCTTTAGAGACAAAAACAGCTCGGAGAGTGATATCAGCGAAACCGATTTATTCAAGGAAATTAAAGCTATTCGACTCTATTTTAACATAGAAAAATATCCTAGTGGTATACTCCTAGTACATGTACGAAAATAATCGACATTCAATATTTCCAAATTTAACCCTAATTATACCTAACCTCCTAACCCTAATATTCCTAACATTACCGGTTGCTGTAGGACCTGTAGGTACCTGAAGGCTTAATATTATTAGACTTTTTCTTCGATGACGCAAGGAAGACTTTCTGCTTTAGCTTTGTTATCTATCGAACAAGAGGTATGCACGACATTGGATATTAAAGATATCGTCAAATTTTCGGAAACGAAAGCCCGAAAAGTTCGATTTCAATAATTTTTTATGTTGTTTAGTTATAAGTGTTTTATTTTACTGGACATTTATTTTTTTAATTTGGAGACTAGTCTTGACTCTGCGGGATTAAAACTTTAATTATTTGAGTACTTATTTACGGGTATTAATGATACCAGACATGTCTCGGCTAATATAGACATAATATTATATATAGGTATGTCAAAAAATCTATGCAATTTTTATACATTTTGTTTAATATAAGGGGGCGGCAAATATTGAGTTGCATACGGGCGGCTAACACCTTACCGGCGGCCCTGACCATAATACCAAATGTATTAATATCTAATAATTAAGACATTAATAACAACAGTGAACAAGAAACGATGATTCAGTGAAGTCATGGTGGGCTTTCGAAAAAAGTTGCTTTGACGTAATAGTATAAACGTCAAATTGTTATTAGATCAACATTTTGATTGCCTTAGCAGCGTTTTTTATCTTTTAATTGCTTTTTCAAAATGCCTTTATTATTTGAAGTAGTTGAAGTTGTTGGCATTTTGAAAAAGCAATCAAGACACAAAAACGCTGCTAAGACAATCAAAATGTTGATCTAATAACAATTTGACGTTTATACTATTACGCCAAAAGCAACTTTTTTCCAAAGCCTACCATGACTTCACTGAATCATCCTATCTTGTTCACTGTTATTAATGTCTTAATTATTAGATATTAATATCTCTGGTATTATGCTATTCTGGTATTTCGTCGATCAGCACAGCGTAATAGACTCTTAAGAATATTTCTTTTTGTATTTTTAATTTTAACTTCAAGATCCTGAATAACCCAAGTAAAAATAACACAATAATTGATCAAATAAAACATTTACACTGCCCAAAATAACGTTTATAACTTCTCACAAACCAGACTTTTCTAACTTTTTTATCCACCCCTGACGTGTGTTAATAATAAAACCCGGAGAAGAAACACAAAAGCCGTATCAGAAACTTATCCATTAGTTATGAAACCGAAGACGCGTATCTTGTTAAGTTCTCGTCCAGAAATATTCCTGCAGCTCCTCCGCAGTGTTCCTGTAGGAAACGGACTGAAACTTTCCCCGGGAGGTTTCCCCAGGGACAAAAAGTCAAACAGACAAGTATCTAACTGACCTGTCACTTTTGTTAGCCGCCAGGAGAGTGACGCCGAGGTGAATCAAAAGAGAGGGGAAGGGAGGGTTAGATATAAGTTCACAACAATTTTAATTTCCCAGCTAACCGGACGCCGGTTTTTTTTCGATCATACGGTATATTAGTGTACATTACTAATACGTCTAGAACTGCACTTAAAAACAAGTTAAATAACTTGCCGTTTTAATTTTTTTTAATTGGCAAATAGAAAATATGTTTATTATTTCATGCATTTATTTGAGACACCTTGTACAGACAATATATTGTGAAATTTCGTTTTTCTCGTAGCTACATGAAAAGCACAAACATAAAATTACTTTTAACTATACATTTTTAGACATATATACTTAAAAATTATAAAAAATATCAAATTTACATGAAAAAAAAAACATAATAACTTAAGACGGTGTATTCTTAATTTTGGATAGCCTAAACTTACAGCAAAGTTCTTTTTCCTCATTCAAAAAGTTTTTAGCCGCTTTAAACGACATCACTACGCAATTCTCTATGCCGAATATATCCTTAACATCGACGGTGTCGTTGTGACATAGCTCGGTGACTTTGAACTTCCTGACAGGCCCGTTTGACACTTCAAACTCGTAAAAATAGTGTTTGGCCATGTTCTGAAACCCGATATACTGGAACGTCCAGTAGATTCTCTTTTTGGAGGCGTCCACTTGGTGCTTGTAGTAAAAATAGCTTTGACCGTTGAAGAAAGAGATGAGGTGTAGGTCCTTGTAGTCGCTTTTGAAGTCGATGGGGATGTTAAATTCTGTTCTGTATTGCATCAGGGTTTTTGATTTGTGGCGATCCTATAAAATACAAAGTGATTTGATTAGAGTAAAACCCAGTGTGTCTATTGAACTTTTTTTAATATTTGTTTAATATACGATCGAAAAAAAAAGGCGTCAAAGACAGCTGGGGAATGATTTGTGACAATCCTAAAAATACAAAGTGATTTGATTAAAGGTCTAGATGTTTCACCAATATAAAATTTATCATATTCACATGATATTTTGTATACCGTGCTGGCAACTGTTACTTTTGGGTCGGCAATAACAAGTGTGGAAGTAAATCGCATAGGGATCTTTTTTTTTCAAGAGATAACTAGATAAAATCATTAAACATGTTTCTGAGCATCTGAAATGGAATGATAAGGATATCGTTAGGGTGTCATTTTTTTATAAAAAGAAAACGTCAATAATCGCGATAATTTAAAAATCAACTTTTTAACACATAACAGGCCATAACTCAAGAACCACTTTAGATATTGAAACTTTTTTTTATTTTCAAGATCGGATATTTTTCAATATGTTTACAAAAGAAAAATTCGATAAGGTTGTTTTTTCCATTCAAAAATTGTAAACAATCCATCCGTTTACTATTAGAGCATAGCTATTTTCAGTAATCGTGTAGGTAAGTTTTTTATTGATAAAGATTTTCACATACTGTCTACAAAGAAAATACAGCAGAAATATTAACAAAGTTCTTGAAAAAACTACAATCTATTATTTCTAATAGATTTCGAGATATCGATTTTTGAATTCAGAGTTCTAATAGCGCGACCACTATCGAACACCCACTCAATTCCACTTATTTTTACCAAAAATGCAAGTGTTTCTAGCTGGCACTTAAAAAAATTCAAGCTATAGGGAAAATTACAACGACTCGTTAATAAATAAACAAATTAAGTATGACGAGACGTAATTAATTCGCGAAGCTGAACGCATGACGTACACCTTTCCCTAGAACTTTAAGTACTGACAGAGGTATTGATTGGAGGTCTGTCCCCAGAAGAGAATCCCTGACTAGTCAGCGCGTTTCTCTTCAGGTTTTCGTAGAAAATGCATTTTCTTATAATTTAGACCACAATTATCAATATACCTATGGAATATTGACATTTTTGATTATTTTTAAAGATCTAACAAATTTTTAAAGGTTACAGATATTAATATTGTCGATATAGTTCGTTTATGTCATTAAAAAATAAAAAAATTGTCTAAATATTTGTAAAAGAGGACCAATTAATATGATTCCAGTATTCAAACTACATTAATTGACTGTTTGCGTTGATTAATAATAATTGCTTCAAATACTAAAAAACTTAATTTTCTATGTGTATTAGACAGTGTGGTAAAAAATAACACCTTAAAAATTTTATTTCATTTTTTGACGCATGCTTATTTAACAACAGAGACGTTCATTTTCATAACTTATTATTATATTGATTTCTGATTCCAAATCCACATTTATTTAGAATAATTTATTAACTAACACAGTTAAATATGTAATTAATTAGTATTTGGGCGGAAATAATAGTGGCATATTTAATTATGGTACACTCTTTTATAAATATTTAAATAGTTTTATTTTTGTATACAAATAGGCTGGTAATATTATCGTTTTTTGCACCTGTACATTTGTTGCTTTAAAAACAATCTAAAATGTCAATATTCCATGGGTATATTGATAAATAAGGTCTAAATTATAAGAAAAAGTATTTTCTACGAAAACTTGAAGAGATAGGTAAAAATGGTATAATACAATTTGATGGACAATTAAATTCTGCGTCTGATTCTCCTCAAATATACAGGGTGTTCCATTTAAATTAAACAGGTTATTGCCGTTGAAAGCTAGAAATTATTTAAAATAAATTTTTAGACACTCTGTATGAGGTAGTATTATTTTTATTATTGCAACACAATAACTGATCAAGAATTAAACTTCAGTAAATATCTAGTATTAAAAACTTTGACTCGTGAACTTGGAGAAATAAAGCCTTAAAATTTTTACTACAATTTCACAAAATTGAAAATATTTCAAAAACGGTCAGGTTTAAGGGTGATAAACCTTAATCAAATTTAGCTTTATTTTAATCATAGAAACTAAAAATGTAATAATATACAGGGTGTTCTATTTAAAAAAATACAACTTTGATATTTTTTATTTATTTGGGACACTCTGTATCTTGTAAAAATATTTTTAAATTGTAGGTCTAATAGTCTTTCAAGAAACCCAAAACTTACAATTAGTAAAAATCTAATCGTTCAGCTACAATACTCCGTGTCGTATGTGGTGAACAACCCTGTATAACGATAAATAAAACACAAATTACCAACTTTAGTTAGACAAAACAACGAAAAGTCAGCTGCTGGTGGTACGATCTATCATTTTTCAACAAATTTATTTTATTAAAGGTGGTAGTAAAAAAAGTACTAATATACAGGTATGTCGTAAAACACATCTAATAATAAACTTGCCAAATATTTGAAAATAGAATAGTTCGAGATGACTGCGACTCTCGATGCATAGCAACTGACGATATTGACGTTTTTATTATCTTTTAGTTAATTTTGACGTTTGAAATTGCCAAATTTTAAGTAGGTAGTGACATTTTCCCCTAGAATTTAGAATTTAGAATAAGTGGGAGGGGAGTTAATCTCTGCGACCTTAGAGATCTATTGTGTCTCCCTTTCTTGAGTTATAACTCATCATACAATCCCAGGACTTCCTACGGAGACCCGTCCCTCACAGTCGAGGAGCTACGACCCAGGCCGGGTAGACGAAACGGTAGCTTGTGTCGCCTGTTGGGTTTAGAGGTAGGAGGTAGTCTCCCGACCCTTGGAGGAGGTGGTAGCTTGTATGCCACTTGCGGAGGATGGTCTCACGCAAGTGTCAGCCACCTCTCCTATAGTTTTCTTTAGGTTTGGCCCCTTGGAACTTTCATTGTTACTGTTCCCAGTGTCGCTAGGGGGTTTCCCCACAGCTTCACCGGTGATGTTTTTTTACTATTATTACCAGATCTCATAGTGTTCCTATGAGTCGCTAGGGACAGTCGGTCCACTTCTACAGAGCCCCGCATGTAGAAGTAAGGGGTAAAATACAATGGGGTGCCCCCCGGTGCCCCAAGGTTGAGGCTGTCTGTAGCCCCGCCCGGTATCGTTAAGGCTGATTCATGGTACACCGGGCCGTACCCGAGCCGGGCACGTTCCGTAAAGTAGACACCGAGCCACGTCCGGGCCTTCAATATATGCTACACCGAGTGGACAACGGGGATCATGTCCGTGCCGATTATATTCTAGAAAACAGTGTTGCCGCAGTGGTACATTTGTACCAAATTTGATACTTTTAATTCTATTTGGTACAGTAGTACTACATTTTCAAATCCAGGATGATTTGGTACAATAATTATTTCCCACGCGCACCGAAATTGAATAGATATTTAATAATTATTGTCGTTGATATTGCATTAAACGCGCTTACCGATACCATTCGGAGAAAATCCGCATTAATTAACGACGTATTATAAACGTTGTAATGTCTATAGCGTTGCCTATATTAAATAACCCGAAGAAAAAACTTGAAAATTTACTGTTTCTAACATGCTTCTATATTTGCGTTTTTTTTAAATAAAATTTAAGTTTTCCAAGTATTGTGTGTAGTATTAGAATTACTTAGAATTCTTCAACCTATACATACTTATAATTGGGTTTTCTGAATTTCTATTTCATGTTTTTCGTCTCGATTTGTGTCTTTCTCCAGGAAGTTTTTTTATGTAGAAATTTATGAAGAAATTCACAGCGACCAAACCGGTTAAAGTCATATGCAGATGTATTTTGTTGTGCTTTAAAAAATTGTACCAAAGTGGTACATTTTTAGTTTATAATGTGGTACGCGCTAAAAGTTGGGTGCGGCAACACTGCTAGAAAACAGCCGCTATAGGCCCGTAGATGAACGAAGTATTTAGCCCGGGCGACTCATTTATGTTTGCCGCAACGGGGCCGGACCGTAGCGGATCCGAGGAAAAATGTACACCGACATTTCTCGGACGGGGCACGGACGCGTTCCGGCGAAGCTCGGCCCGTGCTCGGCTTAGCATGAATGCATATGTATAAATAACATTTGACAATGTTTGCCCGTGTCTTCACCGTCGCACGGCCCCGGCCCGTCACGGTGTACCATGAATCAGCCTTTATATGTCTTGGTGCAATTCCCTGGCCACGACACTACAGTCAGGGACAAGACGATGAGTGAGATGCTTCTTAGACCAAGCCAAGTGCTAGAGGGGATTCTCCCAGCACCTGACCAGGAGCTTCCCCACCAACGACAAGGTTTTGCATCTCCTAGGGGAAGGACGTTTTCCCCTAAAACATGAATACAATAATTGATAGTAAGATTAACATTAAAAATACAAATTCAAACACTCCTCATAATTATTCTAATGGTCTTGGACAAAGTATAGCATTCAACTCGCAATTTATAGCCATTATTCACTCGATGACTTAACTTGAAAATAATGGCTAGCTTAAATTGCTCGTTCAATAATATACTATTATATTAGTGTGGATTAAAAATAAAACGATTGTATTTTAATGTAATGAAATAAGTGCAGGGTCTATTTTATAACCTTAAAATGATTTTCTAAATCCTTGTAGTCACCAGTCCAATCACAGGCCCAGCCAGCGTATGATGCTCCTTCGCACTTGAACTCCCTGTACCTACATTCATTTTCGTGAGCATTTCGTTCTTGGCCTGTCAGATCGTACTTGCATCCCTTCGATTTGTTCCTGCACGGTAGCTTTATAGTATCTCTGAAAAACAATACGATTTCGAATTCAGTGCAAAGTATACAGGATTGTTCACCACATACGACACGGAGTATTGCAGCTAAACAATTGGATTTATACAAATTGTAAGTTTTGGGTTCGTTGAAGGACTATTAGAGCTACAATTTAAAAATATTTTTAAAAGATACAGTGTCCCAAATAAATAAAAAATATCAAAGTTGTATTTTTTTAAATGGAACACCCTGTATATTATTACATTTTTAGTTTCTACGATTAAAATAAAGGTTAATTTGATTAAGATTTATTATACTTAAACCTTACCGTTTTTGAAATATTTTCAATTTTGTGAAATTGCAGTCAAAGTTTTAAGGCTTCATTTCTCCAAGGGTATCAAAGTTTTTAATACTAAATATTTACTGAAGTTTATTTACTGATCAGTTATTGTGTTGCAATAATAAAAATAATACTACCTTATACAGAGTGGCTAAAAATTTATTTTAAATAATTATTAGCTTCAAACGGCAATAACTTGTTTAATTTAAATGGAATACCCTGTATATTTTACAAGAATCAGATGCACAATTTAATTGTCTATTAAATTATATTATACCATTTTTTACCTATCTCTTTAAGTTTCCGCAGAAAATGCATTTCCTTGTAATTTAGAACTTATTTATTAATATACCCATGGACTATTGACATTTTAGATTATTTTTAAAGATGTACCAAATTTTTAAAGAGTACAGATACTAATATTGTCGATATAATTCGTTTATTTCATTAAAAAAATAAAAAAGAAAACTGTTTAAATATTTGTTAAAGAGGACCAATTAATATGATTCCAGTATTCAAATTACATTAACTGACTGTTTGCGTTGATTAATATAATTGCTCCAAATACTAAAAAACTGAATTTTGTATGGGCATTAGACAGTGTGATAAAAAGTAACACCTTAAAAATGATATTTCATTTTTTAATAAATGTTTATTTATAACAACAAAGGCTTTAATTTGATAACTTATTATTATATTGATTTCTGACTCAAAAATCTACATTTATTTATAATAATTTATTAACGAACACAATTAAGTATGTCATTAATTAGTATATGGGCGGAAATAATGGTGTTATATTTAATTAATGGTATACTCTTTTATAAAGATTTAAATAGTTTTCTTTTGCATACAAATGGGCTAGTAATATTATCGTTTTGCTAAAAACGATAATATTACTAGTCTGTACATTTTGTACATTTGTTGCTTTAAAAACAATCTAAAATGTCAATATTCCATGGATATATTGATAAATGAGGTCTAAATTATAAGAAAATGCATTTTCTACTAAAACTTGAAGGGATAGGTAAAAAATGGTATAATACAATTTGATAGACAATTTAATTGTGCATCTGATTCTCCTAAAATATACAGGGCATTCTATTTAAATTAAAGAAGTTGTTGCCGTTTGAAGTTAATAATTATTTAAAGTAAATTTTTAGACACTCTCTATAAAGTAGTATTATTTTTATTATTGCAACACAATAACTGATCAATAAATAAACTTCATTAAATATTTAGTATTAAAAACATTGATACCCTTGGAGAAATAAAGCTTTAAAATTTTTACTGCAATTTCACAAAATTGAAAATATTTCAAAAACGTAATGTTTAAGTATAATAAACCTTAATCAAATTTACCTTTATTTTAATCGTAGAAACTAAAAATGTAATAATATACAGGGTGTTCCATTTAAAAAAATACAACTTTGATATTTTTTATTTATTTGGGATACTCTGTATCTTGTAAAAATATTTTTAAATTGTAGCTGTAATAGTCCTTCAACGAAACCCAAACTTACAATTTGTAAAAATCTCATCGTTTAGCTACAATACTCCGTGTCGTACGTGGTGAACAACCCTGTATAGGCCCAAAAGCAAAGGCATGGTCTTAATGTAAAAATTACGAAAAAATGTTAGTGCCTTCTTTAAAACAGAATATTTCCAACAAAAATAAAGTTAATGAGATGAACCAAAAAACAAACCATCGAGAAAGGATGTATGTATCTAGATGATTCTTGCTGTTTTAACATATTTCACAGGGTCTTTCAAACTTTCACCACAATATCAACATTTTGTTTTCCCTCGTATAATTAACAGATGGGGAGTTTCATTTTTAATTTAGAAAAAGACACTAAAAAGTCAAATAATTTGGCAACACACTGCTTAAAAAATCATCAAAATCGGCCAATTAAAATCTTTGAATAAGAAGACTAAGGAAGGAGCATATCAAAAATCTTAGGTACACCGCGATGGGCCTCAAATATGGCTGACTTAAATTCCGGTTTATCAGTGTCGTTCTAATTTTATTTAAAAAATGTAAAACTATGATGTAGGGTAGACGTGGGGTAGACTCAATAATTTGTTGTTTTATTTTACGTTGTGAATAAATGTTGGTAGTTATTAAAATTATTATAAAAATATATAATTCTAATAAAAATAGATAAGTTATAATAAGTATTTATTAACACAAACATCCGATACGCTACTGAAGCAGGTAAGTCAAATTAACGTATCTAAATTCTTTGACATCTAATTTTTGACAAGTAATAAATAAAAGCTAAAATGCAAAAAAATATATAATTTAGTAAATTTAAGTGAATTTCATAAATGATCGGTTTACTACACGTATGTATATTATATAGTCACTTACTAGCGAAAAGTTGTTCCATTATTTCACTCAATTTTTGCCGAGATCTACCGCACGCTACACAACCTACTATTTTAGAGACTTTTTCGATAAATCGCGATAGTGTCACTGTGAATTTAAGTTCTGCCACAATTTCCATCTAGATTTACTACCTTTATACAACTATCAGTAGTAGAATAAATAATAAATAACATGAAATAAGCTCCGTAAAAACTGACAAATCCACAAAATTTCAAATCAAATTCAAATGAATCGTCAAACAGAACTGTCAAGGAACCCCACCCTAGAGAGCTTTTATGGTGGCTTTTCCGCCCACCATGCATGAATACATGGATAGCATTATGCTCCTTCCTTAGTCTTCTTATTCAAAGATTAAAATAAATATATTAACCTTTAAAATACATCAAAGTTTTAAGGTGCCCATTTTTCGTGCCGGTGAATGTATTTCAAAAACTATACATTTTAGTCATATAATTTTCTAATGAAACCAACCTTTATTTTTTTACTAGAATCCAAAAATCAATTAATATATAGGGTGTTCCATTACAAAAAACATAACATTGTTATGTTACCTTTTTTTGTGGACACCCTGTAGAACTCTACATAATTTTAGAAAATGCTTCAAATTGACTTACAGAAGCTCACAAAATTTCACTTCAATACAAACTTTTGTTCTCCTTGCAAAAACCGCGTCGTATATGATGCGCCACCCTGTATAATTCGATTTCAATCAAAATTTCAATGTTTGGAATATAAGCAGAATAGGTATAGCTTATGCATTAGATTTATTTATTTCAATAAATTTACTTAGAAAAAGAATTAAAAAATCAAAATATTAAGAAGGAAATAATTAAGAATTTACTAAAATTACTAAAATAAAAAATTAAAACCAACGAAAAAAAAAAGGGTTTCGCATTAATTCATACAGTAATTGAATTCCGAGGTAAAAGTCTCCGGGCACTCCACTAATACGTACTTTAAGCTTTCCAGAAGTTCTTCCAGTCCAATGTTGCGCCTATTTGACATCGGTCTGCGACATTTCGGACAAATGGTGATGTGACGTCGGGTGAAACAGCCTTGGTGGATGGAATGACCCACCTCGCATTGCACGATTGGTGCCTCAAGTGGATCCAGACAAATGACGCATTCTAGAAGACCTGCTTTATCTACCTGGATAAATTCATTAATTGAAACAAGAAAAAAAACAGCATCATAGCTTTAAAGTAGTGGCCTTTAAAGTGACAATGTCAGTGGCTACTGTGACAGTATTTTTTTTGGTAAAGGTGTGGTGACCTTGAAACGAGTATTTGCAGCTTAGACAAAGAGTAGATAAGACAAGAGACGACAGTGAACAAAGAAGTCGAATTTCGCGAGAGAGACGCAGATATATTAAAATTTAAAGGTCCCATCAAGTCCCATTTTGACTGTTGCCAAGTATATTTCTTTGAAAAATAAACAAGATTTTCTGAAAATAAATTAATAATATAAGAAGGATATAAGTAACGTATGTTAATACGGAAATGTAAATTTTTAGTTTAGGTTGGTTTAGGTTCTTTTTTCGCAATGTACTGATAATATCAAAGAAACAGAATGACTAAGTTGATCGATTTCAAAGATAAACAGATAAAATCTCAAAATCTGACAACGGCGTATTTTATCTAATCTAAAATATAACCTATGATTTTAGGACGCTAATCAGCTGTGCTAATCAAGCTTAAACATAAACAAATCTGATTAGGTGTTTTCTTGCATTTTTGCCTTTTTAAAGTGTGTTTTCAGAGTTTTTCGATATCTTATCGTTTTGAGAGTTTTTAAGGTTTAATTTTAGTATCGTTTTTGTTGCGTACTAATTTGTAAATATTGTCAAATATGAATACTGAACAGGACACGAGTAGCAGGAAAAGACGAGATGGTGGCAATGTGTGTGCTTACAAAGACTGCAAAAATAGGTCTTATTCTTCGACAAACATAATATTTCACTCTTTTCCAAAGGATCCTGAAAAGTTATTAAACTAAGAAAGAAGACTTAAAGAAGTTATTAAACTAAGATCGAAGACATGGTTAGAAGCTTGTAATATATTTTTACAAAAAAAATTGAGCAACTCTATTTTTTTGTACATAAACTCCACATTGTGATTTTACACTTGTTCAAGTCCATATGTAAAAAAAATACACGCAAATAAAATATTTCTTACAAATCGACTTGGTCACTTTATCTTGTTTACAAACGATATACAAAATATTGCTTTTATTATCTTTATTCCCCGACAAATATGTTTCTAATTATAATTTATTTTATATAATATTGTTACGGATTCCGTGGGTCCACTATTTAAACTCACGATAAAATACTTAACGAATTTATTTGTTTCACTCTGTACACAACTTATACTATTTACAACACAACTTATGCAACTACTATTACTCTAACGGTATTTCACGGTATTTTCAAACTTCAGACTTAGACTTCAAACTTCAAACTTTAAACTTGTCCAACTGTCAAAGCGCGAGCCTTATATACCCCCTGGCGGTTGTTTCTAGATTTTTCTAAAGAATTCTATAATTTTCTTTACTTTCTGGCGAATGCGCCAGGTTCCTCAATGCACCGTTGCGGTTATGCAACCAGTAATACACCTTGACCTTAACATTGCCCCGTTCTCAAATTTGATCGTCCCGATCAAGGTTTCCTGTCTGGTATCTCTTCAATCGATCCAGATGAACTACTTTCATCTTACTTCTTGGGCTGCGTTGAATCCGGTACAACATCATTTATCCTCTTGATGTCGTGTATAAGGACCTTCCCATGCTGGAGTTAACTTTGGGGACCTTCCTTTCTTGCGCTGTAGGTTATACAACCATACCCTATCGTCTTGTTGCGGCCCGTACTTTGGCTGACAAGAGGTCGTAACGAGCTTTCATCCGGTCACTGGCTAGCGTAATCTTACTTCTCACGGCCTTAAAATTTCCCAATAATTTGCTTAGTTCCTCCATTTTCCTCGCTTGTTCTCAAGGCCGGCCAAAGCGAAAAAAGTGGCTGGAATTACATTTCACAGGTAGAAATATTGATACACAACTTTTGTTATGTAGTCATAAAATGTACATTTTTCATTAGAGTGGTAAAAATGTTAATTCGGTCTAAAAATTTTCCAATCCACTTAATTTCTTCTTAAAATCCTCTTGAATCGCACTTCCGACAATCAATTTGTTACGGATTCCGTGGGTCCACTATTTAAACTCACGATAAAATATTTCTAACAATATATATATATATATATATATATAGATATATATATATATATATATATATATATATATATATATATTTGCTAGTATATATATATAATAATATATATATATATAGTTAAGTATTATAACTTATACTATATAAATATAACAATACTATTTACAGCCTGTTAATGCAGCTACTATTATCTAGCGATATTCTTCATGATTTTCAGGCTTCGGACTTGGACTTGGGCTTTGGGCTTTTCATTGAATCCGGGCGCAAGCTGGGAAGGGCAATAGGCTTTGGGCTTTATTATACCGTATGGTCGAAAAAAAAACGACGTCCAGTTGGCTTGTAAATGACCATCTCGATGACATTCCCCATATAATTTTACATATAAAATGACAGCGATCTTCGCTGATGCCGTCTTCTTTCGATATCGTTTTATACAGTTTTTATGTCATTTTATATGTAGTATTATTTGGGGAATGTCATCGATCATTATTTCAAAGTTTAAAACATATATATTTACATTATTTTTTATTTAATTATTACTATGCCAACGTTAATAAATAAATAATTGTCTTTATGAGTCAGTCCACTGTGACTGTTAAATAGATTCTGCATTATCGACTTAGATATTCTAATATTATAAAGGTTGGACTTTAGGCTTTGGGCTTTGTATACGCATTACTTAGGCTTTAAACGATATATTAGTTTACGTTTTAATATTTAGGCTTTTTTGTACTTTAAACTGGGTACAAGCTTTAAACTTTAAACTTTAAACTTTAAACTTTAAACTTTAAACTTTAAACTTTAAACTTTAAACTTTAAACTTTAAACTTGTCCAACTGTCAAAGCGCAGATACTGCGCATGCGCATATCGTCGATGTTGCCATATTTTCAGTAGAAAATAATGTTTTTTTTTTCAAAGCAGTCAATACCGGGTGCGTCTCAAAAGTGGCTCAGCCCTATAACTTTCTTATTTTTTCAGATCAAAAAACGATGTTAGTATATGACATAAATTAGGATTGATTGGCGTATTCAATCGTGAAAATCGTGCATTTTCTTTTAACTTCCCTGTATATTTTTCGAAAACTTTTTAGAACTGCCTGTTCACCGCAAATTTTCCCACGGTATAATTTCTTAATCTCTGATATTACCATAGTTACGGCTTTACTCTATGGTTGCGGCACTAAAAGGGATGCAAATACAGAAAAAATCCGGTGGCTCTCAACTCAACATTTTTTTTAAACTTAAATAACTCGGTTATTTTGGATTTATCTGAAAAAGTAAGGAGAAAATATGTTTCTTTTATCGAGATCTGCCAGCCCTGAAAATATTTGCACTTATTTAAGACTCATCCTATATATAAGTTTGTTAACATTTAATATAGATGCTGAACTTGTATATTTTTAATTAGATCTTTCTATTTAGCTGAATGTCCTAATATGTATACTACTGTTTTTTTAACTAAAATATGTTAAAATAATTAATCACATATGTATATACATATGTGAAACAGAAAGAAACTTTTATTGCAGTTTAGTCCTCTACTCGGGCAGTTTTTTGCTGCACAACTTCGCCCAGGCATTTTAAAAACACGTAAAAATTAACGATTTAAAAATGTTCAAAAAAACAAAAATAAATTATATAACACAAGAAACGAAAATAAACTAGAAAAACCAAATATATAACACAATAAACAAAAATAAAACAACAACTATAAAATATAACTCAAGAAATAAACAAAATAAATTAATCCGTACGCTACTGACTCGAATCAGCCGAAAGTGTGCGCAGTCGATGAAAGAAACTACGACACTGGTTACTTTCTGTTGATGGAAACCCTAATGGCGGCGTGCGCGACGGTATGCGCGTCGCGTTCCCGCCAAAGAGAGTTAAGGATGTCGCCCACTAGACCGCGGCGCGACGCGGCGCGGCGCCATGTGGAAAATTCTTTTGTCTGCTTGCCATATATTTAAATGGACCAACGCACATTAAGCGCGCGCAGATGAAGCCACCGCGGGATTTCACACCTTCGTCAAGAAGTCGGAAGACTTCTAGCAAACTTTTCCGTCTCTCCGCGTTTCGGCGCGTTGCAGTGTGCGTACTCACAAGGGAAATAATTTTGCATTCGAGTCTTTTCAGTTGGCTTTTTGACTAGGAACTAGTGATATGTATCAATGGCAGAATTGTATTTTTAAAGGTAAATTAGGCAAATCGATTTTCATAAAGGAATATGATATTTTTTTTAGTCTTCCCTCACTAGAGACAGATGGACGAAATGCCTTTCTATCAAAGATTTAATATAATTGAGGGGTGTAGAGGCAAAACTGGTAATCTCCACTTTTTAACAAAAGTGCCAATCTCCAATTTTTAAATTCTAATTACCTAAATATATAAAAAAGATTAGGGTTTTTTCATCACATAACTAATATACACATCAGAATAAACAAGAATTATCAAAAGTATTAGTAATTTGTCTCTTCTGAAAAAATATGATGAGTAGAGATACTCGGTGTTTTGCTTCTAAAACCCTCAATTGAGGAGTGCGTAAAATGTTTCCTTTATATTTTGTAATACTGAAAAAAATGATTTTGTCTTTTATTAAATCTGGAAAAAGATGGTAAAATTCTCCAAACTTCTTTCTTTTTTTGTTAATCGTATGAGTCCAAACTTTTCCTCACCCCCTCTTCCTCTTCCTCTGTTAGAAGAGCACAAAAAATACGCTTTCGTCCGTACTTGAACTCATTGCTTTAAAAACTAAACTACAGTAAGTAAAAAACACTTCGACTATAACTAAATAGCGTTGCCGCGTTTCAAAAACGCGCTATAGTGGGCGCAGTTCCTTCGCAGCCGGAAAAAATTCTCTTCCCAGCGCCGCACATAGGTCATTTTATGTATTTTAGGAATTAATAAATAAAAAAATTGAATGTCGAAAAAAATATTTTTTTTATATTTCATCTTGGAGGTAGGGCCCCATAGATATTATATCTGCGATATTATATTTTAATATTAACAGAAGTGGCCATGGCCAGAATGACAATGTCAAAGTTTGTTTGAATTATTTCGCATAGTAAAATTACTGTCATTAGTTCATAAAGTTTCGAATTTTGTTGTTACGAATAGAAGGTGAGTTTAAAAAGTAGTGTTGTGTTATTGTGTACCATAAGGTAAGATTTATTATTAAAAAAAATAATATCCGTTTAAAAAGCTTGTGACTTGGCGAAAAGATACAATGTTTTAATAATAAGAAAAAAATAGTTTTTTTTCATAACTTTGTATTTAAAAATGTTTATAATTCAGGATTTATACAGATTTATTTCAAGAACATTTTTTTCGTATTCACAATCATTTTATCGATTAATCTATCCTAAATTTAACTGCCAAGATGTGCCAAGAGTAAATATATATATTGTTTTAGGTACCATGTCAATAGAAAAATCTCTCTTGTTTTCTGCTTGGTGTGAAGGCAATTCTTTGAAGAACAAAAATGCATCTGTTTTGCCATTTGTTCTGAACACGCTAAATTTAGGGCAACATGTTGGCGACGAACATTATAATGAAATAGTGAAAATTATTAAAAAATGTAATTATTATTATTATTACTCTTTGTCTAAATGTGTGGGAACACGGTCAAATAAGGAACCATTTATCAAAGAAGTTCTTAATTTACTTCGAGAGCGTACTTTACAGGCATCAGAGTTTGATGAAAATATTAGTCAGGATGATGATATCATCGATATTATGTCTCTAAAAGGGTACCTACATAGTGAGGCATCTCGATGCGATGTTCGCCGCGATGCATCCTACGCGCACTTACTCGTTTGCAGTGCTTAGAACGTGCGCGTAGGATGCATCGCGGCGAGCATCGCATCTAGATGCTTCACTATGTTTGTACCCTTAGTAGTGACGAGGATATCGATAGTGATTAAATAAAAATATTATTACATAAATTTCTCTAGTAAAATAGTGTTATTATCATTTTATTTATATTTGTTAAATGTTTTAGGTTGTTTTTTTCATTGTTCAAGCTAATTTTTACTTTCAATTAACTTTAAAATTAAAAATTAAATTTAGTAAACCTTCTAGATACTAATAAATTCACTTACAAAAAAGTAACGAACTACAGTTTTTGTTTGAGTTCGATATAATAAAATGAAAAACAAAATAATATATTTCGTAAGACACCCTGTACAAGCATAAAATGAAAGAAAATATCATTATCCCACGCATTTATTTATTTTCTTACCAAACAAATTTATTTTTGTTTTAAAAAATAATTTAAATTTTAAAGGCATTATTTATTACCGCCTAAATTGGCGAAAATGACCTATGTGCGCCGCGCCGCGCAGCGGTCTAGTGGGCGACAACCTTAAAGGTTGTCGCCCACTAGAACGCGGCGCGGCGCGGCGCTGGGAAGAGATTTTTTTCCGGCTGCGAAGGGACTGCGCCCACTATAGCACGCTTTTGAAACGCGGCAACGCTATTTAGTTATAGTCGAAGTGTTTTTTACTTACTGTAGTTTAGTTTTTAAAGCAATGAGTTCAAGTACGGACGAAAGCGTATTTTTTGTGCTCTTCTAACAGAGGAAGAGGAAGAGGGGGTGAGGAAAAGTTTGGACTCATACGATTAACAAAAAAAGAAAGAAGTTTGGAGAATTTTACCATCTTTTTCCAGATTTAATAAAAGACAAAATCATTTTTTTCAGTATTACAAAATATAAAGGAAACATTTTACGCACTCCTCAATTGAGGGTTTTAGAAGAAAAAACACCGGGTATATCTACTCATCATATTTTTTCAGAAGAGACAAATTACTAATATTTTTGATAATTCTTATTTATTCTGATGTGTATATTAGTTATGTGGTCAAAAAAACCCTGATCTTTTTTATATATTTAGGTAATTAGAATTTAAAAATTGGAGATTGTCACTTTTGTTAAAAAGTGGAGATTGCCAGTTTTGCCTCTACACCCCTCAATTATATTAAATCTTTGATAGAAAGGCATTTCGTCCATCTGTCTCTAGTGAGGGAAGACTAAAAAAAATATCATATTCCTTTATGAAAATCGATTTGCCTAATTTACCTTTAAAAATACAATTCTGCCATTGATACATATCACTAGTTCCTAGTCAAAAAGCCAACTGAAAAGACTCGAATGCAAAATTATTTCCCTTGTGAGTACGCACACTGCAACGCGCCGAAACGCGGGAGACGGAAAAAAGTTGCTAGAGAAGTCTTCCGACTTCTTGACGGAAATCCCGCGGCGCGCTTCTGCGCTTCGCGCTCTAGTGTGCGTTGGTCTATTTAAATACATGGCAAGCAGACAAAAGAATTTTCCACATGGCGCCGCGCCGCGTCGCGCCGCGGTCTAGTGGGCGACATCCTTAAAGGTTGTCGCCCATAATTGAGGGGTGTAGAGGCAAAACTGGCAATCTCCACTTTTTAACAAAAGTGACAATCTCCAATTTTTAAATTCTAATTACCTAAATATATAAAAAAGATCAGGGTTTTTTTGACCACATGACTAATATACACATCAGAATAAATAAGAATTATCAAAAATATTAGTAATTTGTCTCTTCTGAAAAAATATGATGAGTAGATATACCCGGTGTTTTTCCTTCTAAAACCCTCAATTGAGGAGTGCGTAAAATGTTTCCTTTATATTTTGTAATACTGAAAAAAAATGATTTTGTCTTTTATTAAATCTGGAAAAAGATGGTAAAATTCTCCAAACTCCTTTCTTTTTTTGTTAATCGTATGAGTCCAAACTTTTCCTCACCCCCTCTTCCTCTTCCTCTGTTAGAAGAGCACAAAAAATACGCTTTCGTCCGTACTTGAACTCATTGCTTTAAAAACTAAACTACAGTAAGTAAAAAACACTTCGACTATAACTAAATAGCGTTGCCGCGTTTCAAAAGCGCGCTATAGTGGGCGCAGTCCCTTCGCAGCCGGAAAAAATTCTCTTCCCAGCGCCGCGCCGCGCAGCGGTCTAGTGGGCGACAACCTTTAGCCTGCCGTGTGATTTATATGCCGTGACAATAACCTGCAATTTGGCAACATCGCGGATGTGCGCTTGCGTAGTATCGATGATCAAATGCAGCAAATAAGAACTTCAAGATGAGCCACCGAATCCACACCTTTCCTGCCTTTACCTTATTATTTTATATACCTGCTATATCTATCTACTATGTTTAGTAATTTCTATGTGGTTCCATACTAAAAATGTGTTCAATAATAATTATATTATAATATAATTATTAGTAAAAAATACAAATATTAATACTAGCGTAGGTATATTTTAAATTATTCTAAACATAGTAGGTACCTATTACAGAAATTATTCATTGCTTTTAATTTAATCATAGATAAGCAAATATTGATTCAGTTGTTTTATCATTTATTGCATTCAAATGTATAAAATGACACACCCAAAAACTTGTGGAATTAAAAAGACTGCAATTACTACCTATCTTATAAATATTTCCTTGTACTGTACTTACCATTTTAAAATAAATTCAATCGAAAATTCACACTTCCTGTTGACTCGATACTTGATAAACGAAAATTTACCGAGAGAAGACAGATTGAACAAAACAATAATAAAACGAGTTGTAAATCTGTGAACCACTGCTGAGTTGCACTGATAATTGGGCTAGAGAAATAGCGTTGCCAGATTGTTCAGATTGTACTAAAATTCAGAAAAATATATACTATCTTCTATCTTATAGCTTCTGTCTTTAGTTATCTTATAGTTTTTTCATATAAAATTACTATAATACAACCTTTTGTACTTAATAACACCACTATTGACGTCGTGGACTTTGTGAAATTCTTAGGCCTTGTTGTAGACAACTCGTTAAAATGGGACTTGCACATCGAAGCTTTATCAAAGAAACTAAGCGCTGCCTGTTTTGCGCAAAGAGTTTCTAAGGAACTTAACTTATCAACCTCTAGAATAGCATATTATGCCCTTTTTGAGTCACATCTTCGTTATGCCCTTCCATTCTGGGGTACTTGCTGCGCAACAAAATTTGATCGTATTTTCAAACTTCAACAAAATAGAGCAGTTCGATATTTATTGGGACTGAACAGTAGAACTCACTGCCAAAATTTCTTTAAAAATTTCAAAATACTGATTCTTCCTTCTTTATTCATTTTTGAATCCGTTTGCTTAATCCGCAAGCACATATCTGCTATTCCCGAAAGGTCATTTTACAACTATCCACTTAGGAATGCGGAGCACGATCTTTATCTGCCAACCCCGAGCACAGAACTATTTTAGTTAAAGGCTCAATACTGTACAATACCAAAAAAATGTACAATCATTTGCCTTTGAATATCAAGTCGCTTTCATTCTTTCCCGCATTTCGCAAAGCTCTGAAATCATATTTACTGCAAAGAGCCCTATATGCGGTAAAGGACTTTTTTGTTGATGTTTAATCATATACAGTTTTGGATTTTAAAATTTTGATCATCTCACACACTGGTCAAAAATCGAGTATTTAATATTTTATAACTATTTTATATTAAAATTATATCCATTTACAATTTTCCTAATGTAAAATTTTATTGATACGCCTTTTTTTGTGTTCTGCATTAATTGCCCATGTGTGTTCTATTTGTAATTTTAATGACTTAAATTTTTTTGAATTACATGATTTGTATTGTATATTTTTTATTATTTGTATATTTTTTGTGCTTTTGTTTGTTTTGTAAATGCTTTGTCGATGAAGCTTTTTTTTTGAAGTTACTTATTTATTTATATTTATATTAGTGAGGCATCCCAAGATTTGTGTATCTTTTTGGGGAAACTTTTTTCTTTTTTCAAAATCACCAAATTTCGTGTATTTTAAGTACCTATTTTATAATTAGGAGAACATTTTTAAAAACTTATTTCTGCTAATTTTTAAAAATCCTTCAGCACTTAATCGACAAAATTAACTGTAAAATCCTTCATATTGAAGGAAATCCGTCAATTCTGGCAACACTGCCGCCGGGTAAGTTTTTGTGTTTTATTACGAATTTTATCCAGATTTTCCAGATTAGAAAATGTTTTGTTATTTTCATGTATAACGAAATTGGGATTAATGAACTACGTATATTTATAGTCAACTAAAATAGAAAAAAAAAGACAAAATGAACTAAGATAATTGTAACAAATCAAATTCTCTGATGAACCAAAACACGAATTTGCCCTTTTTTGTATGGTTTTGTTTTAATTCAAAGAGAAATTAGTATTTTTTAACCAATTTATATTTAACTCAGTTTGTACCATATTGTTGAATTACTGATGCATATTTATTTACAAACTAGGGTTCGTTAAAACAGTGTTTTAATTTTGTTTAATCAAAGTAAATACTGATATAACTATGCGCCTGTATTTGGTTGTCGGATAAGAATTACTTGATTGCGATGAATAAATATTTAATCAGATATACCGGGTGCGTCCCAAAAGTGGCTCACTCCCTATACATTTTTTATTTATTCAGATAAAAAAACGAGATTTGGTATGTTAGTATATGACTTAAATTAGGATTGAATGACGTATTCAATTGTTTTTGGAGCCTTGGAAAAATAGATTTGATCGTCTAATAAATAAAAAAATAAATGCCTTTATTGTCAAAAAAATTTTCAATTTGTAGAACAAAGGTAAACTAACAAACAAAGTAGAAAAAAAAACAAGGTACACAAACAAACAAACAAAAGATAATACAAAACATTATATAAATAATATTGTCAGTCTTATTATTCACTTAATGATTTTATATATTAGTATAGATAGATTTATCTGGGAAATGTCATTGATGTTCATTTCCCAGCCAATTGGACGACGTTTTTTTTCGATCATACGATAGTTACTTTTTGCAGGATCCTAGAAAAAAATAAATTTGTATTTTTACGCGAGGATTCTCTCCGCGAGAGATGACACATGTTTTTTGAAACGCCCGGTATACCTATAATCCGATCCATCCATATCTATCCAGATCCAGTACGAAATCTGTCAGATCCAAGAATCAAAGCCGGGACATAATCGTAAATAATCGCCATGGGATATGAGCGCGCGTCGATAACGTAGCGCTCTGTAACTGATTTGATTTAAAATTTGACTCATGTCGATGATCGGCGGCGATCGCTCATACGGAATGACGTCGCGGGAGGGTGAGAATTCAATAAGGAAGGGGTGGAACACGGGCAAAGGTCAAGGGTAATTTTATACTACGTTACAGATATTAAGAGAGCATGTAATACAGGGTCTGGCATTAGTGCTTTGGGCATCTGTAGCTCCTAGAATAAAAAATTTGAGAATTTTCTTGCAAAAAAGTGCAAATCTAAAGTATATACTAGGTTGTATTTCAGGAAAATGTTTTCACTTCTACAGGGTGGCTCAAAAAAGTGTGCATTTTCGGCTTCCTTTCAGATCACTTTACATAATCCTAAGATATGAGTAAATATTGCAAATATAATTCGATAGTTTCAAAGATATTAATAAAGAAATCTAAAATACAAATTTTTAGCCTTTAAAAAAAATATTAAAAATAGAATAACTGTCCTGAAATCAAAGATATTTAGGTGTTTACTTTAGATGGTTTGTACTAGTAGTGGGAACTATCGAATGAATACTATCGAAACATTCGATAGTTGCAATTCATTTGAATAATTCGATAGCTAGTAAGAAAACATTCGTCGAAAACTATTCGAATAAAAATATCGAATAGATGCGTCATCTGCCTTGAAATATATTAATTCGGCAGCAAAAACCATTCATTTATAAAATTCATTCATTTGTAAAATTCATTCATTTGTAAAATTCATTTATTCGTCAGGATCGATTATAATAAAATATAAACTGGATTTTAGTTGTCGCCCGGCGACGTAGGTTTCTTTCCTAGAAACCCGACAGCGGTCGGCGGTCGGTGGCAATGGTATGAAAAAAGCCGGCATCTTTGATTTTGAGTCAGATAAAGATAAGGACACGTTATTTTTTTATTGAAGTGCTAGTATTTACACAAAAAATACATTATGAACGGCGCTGTTGCCGTATATTCGTATTAGTTGGTATTAGCAAAGAATATTATTCTTTGGTATTATAGTTAGTTAGGGATAGTATGACCTGTGGTTTTGGTATGACTATATATTTTGCATTTTTTTTATTAAGATTCTGTCTGTTTTTACACTGCAATAATACTTTTTATTTTGGATGTAGGAAAATGATTTTTAATGTTTTTAAGCAAAACTGGTTTAATAAATAATAATAACAGTAATAATTTGTTATACCTATTAATACCAAAATTTAAAATCATTTAATATAAACATTTTTTTAAGTAGTAGCAAAATATAAACAACAAATTAGAAGTCAAAATTATTTATATTAGATCCTATTTAAAAATAATATAGTCTCTAAATTTTTTGGCAACGTTGGTTTATTAAATAATAATAATTACAGAACTAATTCGTTATATTAACAACAAATTTTAAAATCATGAAATATAAACATTTATTAATTTTCTAAGCATGCAGTGTAATAGAAGAAAAATATAAATAAAAAATTAGAAATCAAAATTATATATGTGTATTACTTTTTATTACTTTGTATTAGTATTTAAAAATAATATTTGCTTTTACTGGCATTTACTTTAAAAAATAAATGAAATATTTCTCCGACAAAATACAAATATCGTTAACTTTTTTTTTAAATTGACACGTGTAAAACTTTAATCAATCAATTTAATTTTCTCATCCCAAAATTTGAGTTCGATAACCATTTACTTATAACCACATTACCACTTTACTTAAATATGATTATTAAGTTCAACTAATTCATATTACTAAAACATCTAAAATACAAATACATATGTATTTTTAAAATTAATTGTAAGTTCACCTCATCTCTCTTAAAAATTGTTACTTCTCAAAATTTTCCATTAAAAAAATAGACCATATACCGTATAAAATTAAATAATTGAAAGATCGGAAAATCACACAAATTTTCGGAAAAATTTTGACCACCTGCACACGTACACAATCGTCAATTAAAAAAAAACACTACTACTTTAGTATTTTAAATATTTTAATAAACGCAAAAATAGCACAGTATTTAGAAGGCAAGTTATAAAAATTTGGAAGAACTAATAATGCACTGACGCAGACAAAAATCAAACGAATACTAAATGTCATTTATCAAAAGCATTCGATAGTCGTGGCTTAACGATAACCATTTAGTCGCACGGCGAGGTTGTCACATATGCTTTAGTATGCAAATGAATGAATGATTTTATTCGAATGAAACCATTCGATAGTTGAAATCATTCATTCAGTAACCATTCGATAGTCTAATTCATTCGATAGTTCCCATCGCTAGTTTGTACTTATTTTGCTATAAATATCGTAATATTAAATCATACAGGATGTTTAAAATTCCATGCCAAACTTTCTAAAATATGAAATAATTTGTTTTTCCTTTTTTTAATTTTTAAACACCCTATATATTATTTTTTAACAGATGGAGAATTAAAAAATTAACATTTTTTTGTATTTAGAGTATTTCAAAATTTTTAACGGTTTCTCAGATATTCGTGGTTTTATACGAGTATATGGCACTCTCCACAGTATATTTTTATCAAAGCCAACCAATGGTTTCTCTCG